TTTCTCACCGGGACAACAGGCACACCTTCAAGCTAAATGGATCAAACAATACAACAAAAGACACAAAAGCCTCATTAAAACCAGTCGCAACTTCCGGAATAGCAAGATCATCTCGTTGCACTGACACCACCCAAAAACCGGCCGCATATACGTCTGTTCTTTTCGCATACCACTCTCCCCCGCCGCCCGTGCCTGCCGAGCATGAACATCCGCTTCGAGAGTTAACTACTAGCAACAACAAAGATGCGAACAGTCCCAACCTGCAATTATAGTTTGAGCGGTCTAGGCCGGCGTTCGATCATCTTGGCACAGGGGGGGCTGTGTAAGCGACAGCCTGCCTCGTCGGAGGGGGGATAAAAGCTTAGTTAGGTTGGGACTAACATGCGGTCCGTACCTACATCAGCTCAAAAATGCTTATTTCCTTTTATTCGGTCTCGAATCTCTCCGGAAAACATGCAATAGCCGGTGCTTCTCGTCCACCTACAATAGAACTGCCTCGGTCTATCAGGGATTCACCAATCGTCGACAGTGACCTGGGCTATGTCCGGAGCTGTCATCCCCGCTAGCTCAAACCCTCCCCACCAAGCTTCATGATATGATAATAACGCATTGATCTGCACAAGGAAGTGGACGCTGCCAACAAAAAAGATCACCAAATGCCTTCCTCTAGTGCCGGGGATGGCGGGACGGGGTACCCCTGCTTGAGATGCTTGATTTCACTTGACAGCGCAGCAGAGACCCGGATTTTGAGCTCAGCTCAGCTCAGCCTCCTTTCCCAAGTGGGCTATTAAGTCATGCGTAAAGCCAAGATCCTTGAATTTGTCTCTGCCGGGCAGCCTGATCTTCTTTCTCATTGCGCTCGCGTAGTCTGTGGGGATATCATCTCAAAGGTCTATCAAGCTGTCCTCCCCATTCTTGGCCATATCGTCCTTGGCCCGCTGAATGACGTCGACCCAGTTGGGCGGTCTGCACCTCTCATTTGCAAATAGTTCCTCGGCATCGAGCCCGAACTCGAGCAGGCTGTGCTCGTCCGTCCACTCGCCCATCCCCATGAGCCCGATGGGCACCTTGCCCACGGTATCGGGTCCGGCCTCGCCGCCGGCGCCGAGCTGGTCGTGAGGCACCACGTAGCCCGCAGGCACCGTGACGCCGGGGAGCCCGCAAAAGTTGCCCATCCAGACGTACTCCATCGACCTGATGGTGCGGTCGCCGTCGCTGACGCCGTGGGTTAGCTCGCCCTCGTTCATAATGGGCCAGCCTGCGCACGAGGTCGTCGGCGTGACGATGATCATGCCGGGGTACATGCGCCAGAGATGCGCCAGGTGCTGCATGAGAAGGCCGCGGAGTTTTTGGGCTAGGAGGTAGTCCATGGCAGAGGTGACGCGCCCGATGGCGAGGAGGATGCGGTTCGCGGGCGTCAGGTTCTTGGTTTCGGGCAGGAGGGTTGCGCCGTCGGTGAGGACTGTCATGGCGTGCGCGAACTGGCCTTCGACCAGGAAAGGAATGTCGATGGGAACGGTGACGTATCCGTGGTGAGTTACAAGCTTCGCAATCATGGTACGGCACATGCGCTGGATAGCTGGGTCCGCCTGCGCAAACCACGCCTCGGGGATACCGAGGACCTTTCCGCGCTTCTCGCTGGGTGACAGGATGAAGGGAGATGCCTGGATGAATTGAGAATCGGGGTGCGGCGCGCCGATGGTCTCAAAGTAGGTCGCGAGAGATTCGATATCAGCAGCAATGGGACCGTTGACAGCGCAACTGTTGCTGTGATTCGGGCATGGGTGAAAAGAGATGCGGCCATGAGTAGGCTTCAGACCGTAGACGCCGCACATGGAAGAGGGAATGCGAATGCTCCCGCCGCCGTCGCTACCGAGGGCCACAGGAACTAGACCAGTCGCAACCGCGTACCCAGCTCCCGATGAGCTGCCACCAGTGTAGTAGCCACGATTATAGGGGTTTCGCGGTGTTCCGTAGATGGGATTGTTTCCAGTCGTGTCTACACCCGGTTAGCTTCCGCGCACCTAGTCTTTCGATACTCAAGACTCACCCAGTCCAAATTCGTGCATAGACAGCTTTCCGAGCACGACAGCGCCAGCGTCTTCTAGCTTCTTAACACACCAACTAGTGATCGACTGGCCCGGCGCCGCTGGGGTTGTATAATCGTTCCTAGACCCAAGGCATGTTCGGTATCCGTCGATTTCGTATTCGTCTTTAACCGCCGTCGGAACACCGTCCAAAGGACCCAGAGACCGCCCCTCCTTGTATCGTTTGGTAGATGCCTCGGCAGCAGCCAGAACCTGGGAGACTTTGGTATCAAACCACGCGATGGAGTGCTCGCCGGGTGGATTCGTATCGCGCCGAATCAAGGGCAGGATGGCGCGGGCCACAGCTAGTGGCGTGACTACACCCGAAAGGTACATCTCGTGATAGTCGTTTACGGAGTAGTACTTCAAGGGGTGTGGTTTCGCCTTAACTGCGCTTTCACGGTGGAGGACCGCCGGGTCTTTGGCTTCGTCCATTGGCAGAGGCAGAACGGTTGGGTCGTACCGAGGTTCGGCATCTTCAATATGCTTGCGAATCTTTCTGAGACTTCCAAAGCCTGCGTTGCTCCAGATGAACGACCTGATAAACCATAGACATTCCATCCTGATGGGCGTAAGTGATTGCGACGATGAATGAGAGAAAGAGTGGCCGAGTCAAAGAACTTACGCCCAAGCGGCTAACACCAAGAGCCAACCTCTGAGAGGCGGATTGCTCTTCCTGACATTCTTGTATGGGATTGGCGGTCTAATTTTGTCAGTTCACGACCTGTGGTAGAGAAATCCATATCCCAAAGTATGCGCGTTGGGAGCGATATGCGCATCGTGAATGAACCAGTGGCCAACCTCCACTCAGCCCTACATAGGACAAATCAACTTACCCAGGAATCGGGAGCGGATAGTTGATAAACTTCTTGCGGGTTTCGGAACTCATGATGGGCCGCCTGTGGACGGTATGCACCGTTGAGTCGGAATCAGGTCCAGTTTCGGGGTCAGATCTCGGTTCCGAGGCGACTTTGGGCCCAATATCACGATGGGTAGAAGCCGTTGTGGGTGGCATTGTTTGCTAGCATAGTCGGACGAGGAGCCCGGGACAAGCTTATATAGATCTGTGTCGAGTTTGTGTCGGAAACAAAAAGTAAGGTTGATGCGCTGGGGTGCAGAGACGCCAGGACCTCCCTCGTATGGAAACACCGGGCACGACCATGCAACAGATTTGCGCCTAGGCCTTTCGAGCCCACGAACCACGCCGCAGTAGCCGGAAAGGCAAGGAACTCTGTCAAACAGGAGGGGTCGTTTGTGTAGGGATTTCGAGGTTTCTCTTGACACAGCAGAATGGCGGCAGCCCCTCCCGCTTTTGATCGTCAGCAATACTGGGTAGACCGTATTCTTCCTGGGTTTTTGCAGCTCGTGCTGCCACGGTGTCAGTCGCCGCGAGGCTGGGCCGCCTTTTCTTCTCGATGCTGGCTGTCGGGATCCTCGGTCGACCGATGTGGTTCATCCCTGTCTTTGACCATGTAACCCTGCCTCGCCTTGCCTTGGACGAATGCGGACAAGGTGAGGTGAGTGCTCATACATGCGGTGCTAATGCAGGTGAGCTACGGATACCTTGGGCAAAGTTGATGGAAATGTCGAGATGGAGCAACAACATGACTGAGATTGTTTCTGTTTCGGTATTTGACTGACGAATACAAGATAGCACCACCCTGCCACGCCGTCTAGATGGAGGCACACAGCTGATTGCATATCAGCAGGTTCTCATGCGGGAACGTGAGAGGCGCCTCAGTCAACCACGCGAGCCGTGAAACAAGGATGGGGCATTGCATCCCACTTCCCACCTCCTGGAGACCGTCCTGGCACCAGAGGCCCATAGACCCCGAATAATACATCAGCCGCTAGCTTGATTGACCCAGATATGGAGCATCCTGCTGTTCCGCGGAGTGCCGTTCCTGGGAGCTGATCAAGCCGGAGCCAACCGGACCCCGTTGACGCCTCTTCATTGATGGGAGTTGCAGCGATCCGGCCTCGGGAAGTAAACCGCTAGCTCGTGCTTATCCCAAAGACGGGCCACTGATGTCGTGCCACGGTTCGAAGGGGATGAAGTCATCTGTGGAGGTACGTATCGAGGATATTCGCTGCACCGAATGTCCGAAGATGGTGGGGTACCCGGATGGAGTTTTTCTGCACAGCCACACCAACTACCAACTACGCATGTCGCTTCCGCTTTCCCCAGCCACGAGTCAGCCACACTTGTCATCTGCACGTGCCATGGATGACCTCAGCCGCAAAGCCACATTCCGATCGGAGACAAGCAACGTCTTTTCAACATGAGGCGCGTTCTATCCTAGCCCGGCGGATGACAGATATGATCAGAGTCATTGATTTGCTTTTTGACAAGACTTGGACTAGGACATGCGCACCTTAGATTGGCGACCACATGATTCATCGAGCACTCGTTAGCATTTGAGCACTCTAGCGCAAAAGACTCTCCTTTTTGCAGAAACCAACATCCCACCACCAAAACCAGCCCCGCCTGCGTCATCACTACTTTACCGTCGCCTCGGCTGCTCGATCGTTTGCTACGCAGCTACCCGTGCATTCGACTGTCGCTACACACAAATAACTCTGGTGTTTGCCGTTGCTTGTCTGATTCACTTCGTCCTCGATCGGCTCGGGCCACTGGTTGTTCGCACGACCAGAGACTCGGGAGCAAAACACCTTTGTGCCGCTGTTCCTTCCAGTATGACTAGTGAGCTTTGGACTATTTCACAACGATATCTCGAACCCTGAAGTTTCAACTTGATCAATGGCTACACCAACCCTAGACGACCTAGTGGTGAGTAACTCTTTGCTCGGTAGCACCGCTGCATGCTCCCTTGTATTCTCATGAGGAGATCATTGGAACCCATCACGAGAGAAGGCCATTTGTTGAGGCCAAGGCGCATGCTAACGACAACCATGCAGGCGGAGTTTCCCCTACTAGATCCTACAGTCGTTATCGCAATCGCGAGCGAAATAGATCTTGAAGATGCCGGCCAGCTCACTGACGTTCGCGGGATGCTGCAGAGCATAGCCCAGAATGTCCTTGTTGAAGAGGCGAGCGGATTCAATGCCAGCGGTGTCCCGGACACCATCAGCTCCATTGATGGCGGAGCCGATGCGCGAGACAGCTCCACGGTTTCGGAGGGGGTCCAGCTGAGGGACTCAGATTCCTCTGGGACCAGACTGACCAGCCCACCCCCGTCTGAACCGGATTATGACGTCCCTCGTATAGCAACGTTTGACGGAGAATCGGACCAGGAAAAGCTCTTGCAGCTGCAGGATATGTTTTCGGATCTGAAGCCCCATGACGTGAGCTTCGCACTCAAGAAAGCCAAGGGCGATTTCCAGGCCGCTCTGGAGACCTTGTTGAACATTCAGTATCTTGAGTCCATCGGCGAAAGGCCAAAGGGCATCGACGGCTTCGTGGACTCGGGGCTGCCTCAAAAGCCGTCTGGGAAAAAGAAGGGCAAAGGGAAGAAACGGAAAGACCTGCGTACGGATTTGTCCTCTAGCTCGAGCAGTATCAATGAGACTTCTCCTGTCATAGATGAGAACGAGCGTAAGTAAAGTAACATGACTGCAAAGGTAATCTACTGACAGCACCTAGGGGTTGAAAAGATCCTCTTCATTGTAGAGAAGCTCGATCTGCAGTTCGATGAAGTCTCGGATGTCTTCGATGCGCTCAAAGGTTCGACGGAACTTACTATCATAGAGTTCCTCGATCGTTTTGTCAAGCAAGGTATTGGTGCCTGGACTGGGGAAGATGGGCACCGAAAGCAGTACATTCAGGAACTGAAGAAGCAATATCGGCACATCCCCGAGCAGTACCTGTCGCCCCTCAATGAAGTCACACGTAGTGATTATCAGTGGATAGAGGAGGTTGCTACATTGCTGAATCGTTATTTTGGCAGATTGCCCGCAAAGCGCCTGGACATCAACTACAAGCTTGCGCCTTTGACGACGGAAGAGCTGGAGGGGTCGTCCGATGGCTGGCAAAAGGTGGTCTCGCCCAAGACGTCGCTCATGTCGCCTATTGGGCGCCCCCTCACTAGCCCAGTCCTCCTGAATAGTCCATCGGGACCCCGCACTTATCAGCAGGCCATGGATACAGCTGGCGTATACCGTGAGGCCAGCAACCACTCTTATTCAACCGCCGGTCAAGTGTACAAGAAGGGACATTTATACAGGCAGGCAGCAGGATACTATGCAGATCGGGGACGTGAGGAGGCACGCAGCTTCGCCAAGGCGAAGAGTGTCGCGGCCGATATCCACGTATCTAGCACTAGCTCAGGAAAGGCGATCGATCTCCACGGCGTTGAAGTTGCAGACGGCGTCCGAATCGCTCGTGAGCGCGTCTGGGACTGGTGGAATAGTCTGGGCGAGTACCGAACCAGGAAGGCGGGCGAAGGCTTCACGATTGTCACAGGCCGCGGCCTCCATAGCGCCGGAGGCGTGTCGCGACTGAGACAGGGCGTTATCGCCGCCCTCGTCAACGATGGGTGGAAAGTATCGATCGAAACTGGGAGCTATCGTGTGACGGGCCGACGTTGATTCAGCTAGACTGACATACGAGGTGCTTGTTGTTGGAAGGAATGGCGCTTGCTTGCGTCAACTTGGTCAGTCTGGGCCCCGCTTCGAGAACCTCGGATGCTTCCGAGCAGGCACCAGCATTAAACAACTGTCCTGAAACTTGCATAGCCGTCGCCCGGTACTGCGGTGTTCAAAGTCTGAATGGTGGAGCATTGACTGGATTGACAGCATTCTTGGCTAGCATTATCAATCCGGCGTTCAAGAGAGCGAGTACCATTGGATGGATTCGGGGCGAAGAAGATATCCCTTTGGAAATTTTGACAGCGAGAAATAAGAAATCTTGGGATATCCATGCTGAGACTACATGTGGTTGTCAATGGCGAACAGTTCGGGTACCCGATGCAATTGCATTTGACTAAGAGGTGCTTATTGGCACATTGAAGAAGAAAAAACCAGGCTTACAGGCGATATTCTAGTAGTTGAGATGTCATGCCAACGCGGTTGCGAGCTACCGGCCTTACAGCACGATATCAAAGATGTTTCCATGAATACGAACCCATTGTCTGATGAGACTCGATTGAGGTTAACCTAATCCTTTTCCACGTTCCGCCAGCAAGCCACCAACCTACGCGTACCAACAGCACCCAAAAGACGCTGAACGCTGATGAGGATGGGACTTTGGTCAATTCCGGCGACGATCACCACCATAACCGTAACCACCTCAAAGCCTAAAGCAGACACCCACAACACCAGACATTGAAAATCTTTTGATACATGTCAATCCTTCGGCTTTCCTAAGAGAAACCGCGACTTGCACCGCCGCTAGGCGTGGCGTTCTTTACACCAATCCGCCTGCTGGCCAATTATAAGCTTCCCCTCGTGAGGCGGGGGGGGTTTGATGTTGGTGTGTCACTATGTCAAAGTGGACCTCCAGGCACCCGAATTCCGGACAACGTCAGTGTATGAACGCTTGGAGATTCCGCATGGCGGAGCCGGGGGCGCGTCTGCGGCTCTCAGGACCCTTTGTTGCCATTGGTGATGAGTGCAAAAGGGGGGGAGTGCCTGTTGGCTCAAGGGATGGGAGGGAAAGCTGGGTGCGCGTGAGATCCCAAGGCGAACTCGCTTTTGACGGGTGTCCTCTTACTTCCTCTCGGGGACATGGGTCTGTCTGTCTGTCTGTGTGGTCTAGTTCTGGATTCTGGTCTCCTCTTCCCTTGAAACCAATACACTGAACCAAAAGTATCTTTCCCACATTGCACTACACACACAACATTGCTTGCCTGCTGCCTCTCCATTCATGAGATGGGGCACGACTCAGTCTCGTATATAATAACCTCTCCCTCACCACCCACCGCCGGATGAACTTCTCGATGCCTGTCTACACAGATAAGCAAGAACTGTCATACACAGACAACACATACTACTACCCATCCCACGATATAATATACGACCTCCCCTCGACCAAATTCCTATGCTCCCTCAAAACCATGGCCTCCCCGCCGGAAAACAGACCGTTGAACCCCAACGTCGTCTTCCGCCCCCTAACCCCTCCGTCCCAGCACTCGTCCGCCTCTTCTCACAACGGCGGCTCGTCGCCCCTGGTATACCTCAAATTCATCATCAACTCCGTCGCCTTCCTACGCTTCATCGCCGTCGCTCTCAGTCTCACCCTCGTCATCCTCGAATGGGACGGCCGAAGGCGGTACGAGGGCCTCTCCAAGCTCTTCATCTTCCTGGCTACCCTACAGCTCGTATGGTTCACGTTCGCGCTGCTGGCGCAGGGCGGACACCGTAGAGGTGGTCAGAAAAAGCCCGTCGTCGTCGACCTCGGATGCGTGAAGTGCATCTTTGGCCGCCGTGGACGTCGTGGTGATGGCGGCGACCACGACGAAGAGAGCAACGGTGGAATGCGCGGCTGGTTTGACGGTAATGACAAGAAGAGGAGGAGGGCGCTGGGGTGGGTGTATACTGCTTTCGACATTGCGTTTGCGGCTATTTCTTTCACTTCTGGTGTTATTGCCGCCGGTGAACCGTACTGCTGGCACTACGAAGACCACGTCGGCATCGCGGTTATTGCCATCATTGTTGGGCAAGTTGTTCCTCAATGGTTTCGCTCCGCTGTTTCTCTGAGGTCGTCGCTGACAAGGGGAAAAATAGTGTTCTTGAGGCTGTCATTGCAATTGCCCAGCAGTTCTCCATCTTGAGGCGGGCCAAGGTCCAGGTTCTGTGGGACGAAGATGACGAGGACGACCTCGGCTCGCACAAGTACCGTGTCCGCCTTCCTCAGACTCCGGAGCAGAGACATGCCCCCATGTCTGTCTCTGCCGAGTAAACAATAGACCTCTTCGGCATAGGGGCTCAAATTGAGAAACAACAATCTCACCGCCTTGAACGTCTGCGTTGTCCATAGCTTTTGGCGGAGTGCCAAAAGTCCGGATGTGGGCTCGCTGATCGTTGTACCCGTACCACCTCATGACGTGGAGAAGGAGATGATATATGTGACACTATGAACGAAGACTGGCCTGGAGTTTGTGTAAAGACTGCCCTTTGATTTTGAAATTTGATATTATATAAGACTTTACGCAATGTCCGTCTATAAATCTATATAAATTTAAAGGCAAGCCCCTCAATTCCCAAGGCAAATGCTCTAGAAGGGGGCACACTCAATCATTGTACCCCCCACGCCCATCTTGTGAGCCATAGACAAACCCCATTTCGGATCTCTAGCTGTACCTAAAGACTTTTATCAAGAGCTCCTCCTCTCTCTAACAGTCGCACCACATCTATCCCAAATGTCTCTACTGCTCAAGACGGTAGTGATGAGCATGGCAATCCCAACAGTCCCCGGCTGAACATTAACCCAACCCAGAATCACGCCCGGAATAAGGCAATCCAGCGAATCGGAAAAGATCTTGCGCCCGAGGCTCTTGACCTTGACCGCAACCTCCCTCCTCCACCGCTTCATATTCTCCCGCCTCTTCATGACAATAGCCCGGAGACGAGTACGCTCAGCCTCCCAGTCAAGCTTCTCATCCTCTACCTCTTCCTGCTTCTTTTCGTCGGAGACAGCGGCAGCATCTTTCTCAGAAGCTCCCTCAACGGCAGCATTCTTTGTCTCCCCCGGCTTCTCTCCCGTCCCATACCCGTGACCATGCCGCGGCACCGGCGCGTACGCAAAAGCCTTGAGCAAGCGCGTCAAATTCGCAAACACACCCGCCGCCAACGCAAGCAGCCAAAACCGCTGCGCCTCGACATTCAGCGCCCGCGTGCGCTCGGCGCCAAAGTAGCCGATGTGCGGCACGCCCAGGAGGTCCGGGAGGGTGAGGGACTCGAGACCGCCGTAGAGGCCGAGGAGCGTGAATTTGATGATGTCGAGCCAGGTCTCCAGACCCGCGCCTTGGCTCTTCTTAGCTGGTGAAGAGGACGATGATGACGGCGATGAGGAGATGGAGGTGTAGAGGTTGTAGGAAGTGCCAAAGGAGTTGAGGAACCAGAAGAAGCGGATGAAGCGGCGCGTCAGGTTGAGGTGGCCTCGTAGCGGGCCTAGAGCTTCGAGGAATGGGGGGTCTGCATCTAGGAGGGCGAGGGCCACGAGGGATGGGTATGCTGAGAAGATTGCGGTGAGGGCTTGGAGGCCGCGGAGGATGCGTTCGAGACCAGCTTGAGTATCATGTGTCAGCTTTCAAGAGAATGAAGAGTGAGAGTAAGCGGTGAGTGAGTTGGAGAGTGAGCGAGAGGCTTCATCTCGGGCAGCAGTGATGGAGGCGGATTAGACACATCGAATCCAATGGTTTAAATATGCAGCGTATAAGGATGCTGAATAGAGGACGATGTACTCACCACTGTCAGACCCAAAGGCGACGAACTGATCAAAAGTGAAAGAGGTCATCTCGGCGAGACTTTAATCGCCAAAGGACAGATAAGTAAGCAAAGCAATTCCAAGTTCATTCAAAGAAAAAGAAAAAGAAAAAAAAAATCCCGAATAAGAATATGTCACCAACGCGCGATGAATCCATAAAACGCACAATCTCCGACCGGTCGAGGGGTTGTCGTGGGCAGACGGGCGGTCAAAGAAATCGGGGACGGTGGTTTAGAGAAACCCCCGCCCGCCGTTCTTCGGAGGGTTCTTTGACCGGTGGTCCAGCCGAGTCCCGAGCTGTCCGAATCTGTGGGCCGAGAGGAAGATGCCTGGCATGCCTGCGGCTTGCATAAAGAGATGAGAAATGCAGTGGCCTTATTGGACGAAACATTTGTGGCTTAACGCCGATAGGGAGGCTTGAAGAATCAACGTGTATGATTCATAGACTCTTCTACATGAATCAACGATGCATTGGAGCAGTTAAGTTTGCCAATTAATTGTTAACGATGTCAGGAAACATCTAATATCTCCAATTGAGGTCATCACGAGAGCACCTGGGCTACGATATGAAGAACATTGAATAGTCGTGAACAAATGAACTCCAGCGCATTTAGGGCTCTGCTAATGTACTACTAATATATACAAGCCCTCGGGCGCCGGTCTACAAGCATGCAAAAAATCCAGCCTTTTACTGTCCCGGTGAAACCAGCTTGCCCTGAGCCCGGGCAGTCGGCTCCCAACCACCACCCAGAGCGTTAGCACCGCCGTTCAGCGCGGCGTACTCCTCCATTCTCTTCTCAAGCTCGGGACGGAAATGTCTAATAAGACCCTGAAGGGGCCAGGCGAAAGCCTCACCAAGAGCTAGACACAAGAATATTAGCAACGGGAATCGTTGACGTCATGGACGAATACATACCGCAAATAGTGTGACCCTCAACTTGCTTGGTGAGCTCCTGAAGCATGTCGATCTCGCGTGGCCGTCCCTGGCCCTTCTCGAAACGCTTCATGATCTGATCGGTCCACTTGCTGCCCTCTCTGCAGGGTGTGCATTGACCGCAGGACTCGTGGGCGTAGAAGTGGGAGAGACGGCTGATGGCGCGGACAACGTCGGTGCTCTTGTCCATGACAATGACAGCGGCGGTACCGAGACCGGACTGGCTGTCCTTGAGACCGTCAAAGTCCATAAGTTGGTTGTCGCAGACGCTCTTGGGAAGGATAGGGGTGGAAGAGCCACCGGGAATGACGGCCAAAAGGTTATCCCAGCCGCCACGGACACCGCCGCAGTGCTTGTCGATAAGCTCGCGCAGGGGTATCGACATCTCCTCCTCGACGGTGACGGGGTTGTTGACGTGACCGGAGATACAGAAGAGCTTGGTGCCCTGGTTACGCTCACGACCAAAGCCGGCGAACCAGTTGCCACCGCGTCTGCAAATGGTGGGGGCGACAGCGATGGTCTCGACGTTGGCGACGGTGGAAGGGCATCCGAAAAGACCGACAGCGGCGGGGAAAGGAGGCTTGAGACGGGGCTTTCCGGGCTTGCCCTCGAGTGACTCGATAAGGGAGGTCTCCTCACCGCAGACGTAGGCACCAGCACCACGGTGGATGAAGACGTCGAAGTCGTATCCGGAGTTGCAGGCGTTCTTGCCAATCAAACCGTCCTTGTATGCCTCGTTGATAGCGTTCTGGAGAACGGCGGCTTCGTGAACGAACTCGCCACGGATGTAGATATAGGCGGCGGTGGCGTTCATCGCTCTGCCGGCGACGAGGCAGCCCTCGATGAGCTTGTGGGGGTCCTTTCGCATAATCTCGCGGTCCTTGCAGGTTCCGGGCTCGCCCTCATCGGCATTGACGACCAGATATCTCGGCTTGTCGTCCTTGTCCCAGTCCTTGAAGTTCATGAACGACTGTACGGTTGCCATTGCGTTAGCCCGTTGTTCCGCTCCTTCCCTTGATTGCCGCGGCAATACTCCAGCAAAATCGCAAGGTGGCAACCTACCCATTTCAATCCTGAAGGGAAACCGGCACCTCCGCGTCCACGGAGACCGGAGGCCTTGACCTCGCTGATAATCCAGTCGTGTCCCTTGAGAATGATCTCCTTCGTCTTGTGCCAATCGCCCAACTTCTTCGCGGAAGCCAGCGTCGGGGGCAACCGGCCGTAGAGATTCTGGAAAATACGGTCCTGATCCTTGAGTCCGCCGTAGGTTCGTACTGTCGCAAAGTTTCGCGCAGCCTGAGCGGCCTGCGCGGGCAACCGCCGTGGAGTGGCCATCGTGGGCGATTTGGGGGGGGTTTGGTGGTGGATGGAGGTTGTCGATCGGAGGAATTCGTCGTCGTGGGACACAGCTCAGTTGCACCAAATCGATGATGCTTATTTCCAACTGGCGTTGATTGGCCAATGCGGGTCATTTAGTCAGCGAGGAGGTCACGTGGTAGCGTGAATGCATTAACCGGGGTTATGCGCTGGGGCAGCTCCAGAGAATCGACGTCGGACTCTACTGCCCCACGGCAAGCTACCCCATCACTAATACCGTTGCGCGTCGCATCTCGGTCTTCCATGTGAGCCCCGGATTGTCATAGGCGTCACCAATAATGCGCCTTACATCATTTGGCTAGGATTTACATTGGGTCGGAGAAATCCAGGACACGTACCACAATGTCGTCTAACAAGCGGCATTCTATGCTGCCCGCCGTCTCCAACCAAGGCCCGCGACCGCCCGTCAGCTTCTCGTCTTCTCTCACCGTTGCCGATAGCGCCATTCTCGTCGGAACACACTCTATTACGATCCAGTCAGAAAGCGTATTGCACCCGCGATCGAAGCTTGAAACCACGAATGGCAGCATCCTCATCGGTCGGAGGTGCATCATTCACGAGCGGGCTCATATCGGGGTAGTTGGTAATGACGACGCCAGCGGAGGCATCTCGCTCGGAGACTACGTGACGGTAGAGGTTGGCGCCATCATTGAAGCTGGGGGAACAGATATCGGAACAGACACGGTGGTTGGGGTCCGATCTCGAATTGGAAATGGTGCTATCATTGGCAAGGTTGGTGTCGTCTTTCTGTTAGACTAGCTGGGATGCTAACTAATTGCTGCAGAACTGTACGATCTCACCTTTGACGGTCATCAAACCTGGCGAAAAGGTTCCGGATTTCACAGTGGTCTACTCGAATGGACAAAGACGGACGGACAGGCGAGGAGTCGCAGACTTGAGGCATAAGGCGCAGGCGCGGCAGATTGATGTGCTTAGGAGATTGATACCCAACAAGGCCGAGAAATGGCTGAGTTAAGAATGGAATAGAAATGATACCCCGTGATTCAAAGTATACATGTGCTATGCAATTGGTGGCGTAGGCCGACAAGCGGTGAACCAATTCAAAATCTGAGGGATAGGAGAGGTACATATTCGAAGTCCATCGGAGGACCCCCAACCGCAGTAGCCGAGCGGTATACAACTGTTAGAAATGCCAATGGTGCATTTCATAGACACTCGAACCTCGCAAGTTCGAGTGTTGAACTTTTGCCATTTTCTAGCATCGCCTTTCTTTCCCTGCCAAAGGAAGCAAGGAAATCAACGAAGAATGATCCTAGCACCAGGCTAACTAACTTACATCCGGATATCTATCTGTAAGTACAAAAGGACCGTTCGGATATTTGCAGCCCGTTGCTTGTTGAGATCTAGAGATGATTCGCTCCCCGTAAGGGTTGGGAGACTCCCCTCCCCCTATTGATAGACATGAGATAGAAGGTCGCGCAACACGGTTTTCGGCAGTCACCAATAACAAGACCATGGAAGATCAAGCTTCCCTCCTGTGATTACATTTGCCAACTTCTACTTCACCAGACGCAGGTTTGGCATCACTTCCCTGCCGGCTAGAAGAGAGGGCGAAGTGAAGACATGATGGGGTTGGTTGCTCTGGGCGACTGGGTGTTCCCAATCCCAGATGCGATATTTCCTAAGTCTGCAACTGACCCTTGCTCATCTAAGGCCAGCATGCAATTGCCAACAGGATACACGCAAGTGGGCTGGGCAGAATTTGCAACTTCAAGAAGCGCTTCTCATTCATAGGCTAAAGGCTTCGCTGAAACCAACTAAACATACAACAGTAGTAAAGTAAGTCCGAGATGATCCTGGCCCTAGTATCACCGAATTTGGGTAGCCATTGCTCTCGTCAACCTCAGTAGCATGATTCGATCTTTGATAACATCCTCCTCTGGCCTATTCGATGCTAACCATTCAACGGACCGGCCATGAATCCATTCGGTAATGACCGCGGCGCGGTCGATATCGTCTTGGCTGTCGCGCTGCTCCATTGTCTCGACTCCCGGCTTTGGAAGCAAATTGCAAACCTCGAGCCGAGAAGAGGAGTTGCGCACAGCCATGTCGTGACACCGAAGGTTGCCAAAATGGAGAAATCCGATGATGTAGTCCAGATCCAGCTTGCGGCCGGACCGAAGAACGATATCGTTGTCGAGGATGTGTTTACGAATGAAGCCGGCAATCAAGTTTAACACCGCAGGGTGCGCCATGATTGCTTTTCCATCGAAAATAAGGGTCTGTACAGAAAGGGAACTGATTTGGCCCCTTTCGACTGACGCAGCGGAAGACGAAGGGAAACTGTTGAGGGCATCGATTCGTCCCGGAGGATTCAACTTTTCCCTCAACACTTTGACGGCGTCCGGGAAGGAGCGATAAGTTTCGCAGATAGCGGAGAAGGCTTGGTCACCGTCGATGGTCCCATCAAGATATCTAGAGATATTGGTGTGGACGTCGTCGAAAAGCTGAAGAGCAGCAGTGGAAGTCTTCCTGGGAATGATTGTTTGACTGGTGTTCTAAGCCTTGGAGTCAAAACTAACGGGTCGGTCATCGATGCCCGATTTGGTGGTCTCGAGATTGCGGCCCAGCCCAAGTCCCCCGGTGGCCGTCCACAGTTCCCGAGACGCAGGCCACTTCTCCGCAAAGGGAAGAGTATGTGCTTTTTTGGCATGTTCAGGCTGAGGGTTGTGTGAAAAGACCTCTACGGCCTGGTATAAACTGACACGCTGGAAATACTGCCCGTAGTAGAAGATGGTACGTCGGAGATCGTTTGTAATGGGATCCCAGTAGCCAGCTTTGATGGCCCGCTGGCGGAAGTCGAAGACGGCGGCCGGGTTGTTCTTGCGCCACGCCCTGAACAATTGGCCTGTGGCGTGTTCTTCTTGAATGAAGCGTGCCTCCCCACCCCAGAGGCATATAACGCGAAAGTATCCACGAAAATCGAGGAATCCATTGCTCAAGTTCGCAGTGCATCTTTGGTAGATTTTGTCGTAAGTCAGGATATGGTGGGTGGGTTGAGGTACCAAGTACCAATAGTTGTTGTCGGCCATCTGATTAGGAAGAGAAGGAGACGGAAATAGCCGTGGCCTTCGTCTCGAATAAAGAGCCTTACGGGTGTTTGGGTGGAATGATGATGTCCTTGGGCCCCAAATTATGTCGTGTTGATGATGTGGGTGGGAACGTCGGGTTGGAAGAAGCCAAGGGGGAAGAGACGAGTAAATCAACAGTGTCAAGATGCCAATCAGAGTACCAAAGTTTCTCCTGGGTGCCTAAATACAATAAGAGAAGGAGCTGGCAGTAATTCGTTCGTGGATACCCAGGACTTTCTTCCCAGACAGAGTCCTAGACTGGCCGCTTGCCTCGTGGTAAGAATCAGCGGGGTGCGGTAAGTTCGCTTCCATCTCTCCTTCCTGCATGCTTCACCGCAATAAGATGAAAGATGCAAGAAGGAACATATAACTCTGCAGAGGCAAGGCAGTAACCTTGGATCTGTACTTGCCTAGATGGACCTGTCTTATTGCGGCCGGAAGCTACGACCTAACGCCGGGTCCCAAATGGGGACGTTAACGGCCCCACTCCGGCGGCGTCCTGACGTATCTTGGAAAATTACATCTACCTTGGATCTCCAGTCATTGTGAAAAAGGTTTAAGACCACTTTCTGACTTTAGATTCAGAGACCTCTTCAAATGTATTTGCTCAGGGCTTGGGCTTCTTCGCCTTTGGATGGAGCATCCATTTCGGTATACAGGTTCAGGATAGGGGTGAAAAGTTGATTGTAAATGAAGACCAACCGAAAGACCAACGTAATTTTGATTCTTCGTAACTCAATGTATGATCAGGAACAATTGTAGACTCTTGATAGCACGATGACACCAAATACCCTCCTGTCTTTCACCATCTTGGTCACATCACGGGCTCATCGAGGCCTGTGTTCCGTAAGGCGCTTTATGGCGGGCTTCCTTTTCTGACAAAAAAAAAAGGTTCACGCAAATACAAATCGGTGCCTTATTTATCTAGACTTTTGATCGTGTACATGGTGCTGCCAGTCCGCTGCTCAGACGTATTCACATTACCCAAAGTCTGTTGAAATACAAAGTTTTGTCTTGTACTCCGATTCTCTACCGATATAGCTCAACATAGAGCATTCTCCTCTACTCTCTACTCAGATGCTCAGTATAGTAAAGGCTCATGCCCTTGCGTCGAGGAACGGTCCGGGAATATCTCAAGCAAGCAACAGTCAGTCACACATCCACACATCAACATATTCGAGCCCCACCGTGCTTGGTGGCCGAAGACCCCGCGGAAGACGCATCAACCCACAACACATTCCGAGGATCGTCGGTGATGTGGATCTCGAGACCGGGACATGGAACACGAGAACAGCTCCTCCTGACAAAAAAGTCGACACAAACACGTCAACTCGCACGTCCCTTCCGTCCCACAGCCCCCTCAACCCCTCTCCGATCTTCTCCGTAGGCTTTCTTTGTCTCTCTCTCTCTCTCTCTCTCTCTCTCTCTCTCATCCATGATCCATCCGGCATCCCCCTATCCTCCGCCAAGCCAAGACTGGGGTTAAGAAGAAAGACGCGTAGCCAAGCCTTCGATACCCGGGGCAAGAGTCACAGGACTACGACATGTCAAAACTGGGCTTGGCTGTTGCCGTCTCATGCTGCTTCAGCCGCCAAGTTCTTGTCGTCCAACTTTACTTGGCGATCCCCTCCCCCCAAAAAAGTCCAGATAAAAGATAGAAGCTCGGTCCAGCTCAACTTATACCAAGTTCGATGCCACGCTCAAGTACCGCTAAGTGCCATCAACAAAACTTGCCAGGTGCCATAGGTGTTAGCCATCACTTACACCGCCCCACTCTGGGCACTCTCGAGTCTCCAAAGTTCTCTCAACGATATCGGATAGCGCCATCACCGTCGCAGCAGAACATGCACTTCAGACAGTCAAGAGTGTCTCGTCTGGGCACCAGGCATGAACAAGCTAACCCTCGCGAGCTAGCTGCTTCGTCGCGCCATACATGCCATTACGTTTTCTTCCTGGCATACCGTATGTCGTCTCTACGGGAAGCATCGTTTGCCGTCCCCATCGTGGTTTCATGTCCAGCCAAAGCCGTCTGTCAAGGAAGACTATTGGATATCTTTTGTGGCTCAGAGATGCTGTTTCCCCGCTGTTCCCCGTCTGTCCCCGTTTGTTCCCGCGTCGGGGGTGCGGAAACCCCTCCCCATGTCGAAACAAGGATAGTCAACGTAACTCTCTTCGCTGCAACGACATCGTGGCAGAGAGATTGATAAGGAATCTGGTTACTGTGTATACGATTACTGCCGGCTCCAAGACGCCAAGTTTACTTTGGTCACTACATCTCCCGCAACTTTTCCCTCGTGTCCCTTTTATTGCTCGCGCTTTTCCCTTTTTCTTCCATCGTCTATCCCTTCTCCCCATCCCCGTCATGCAGAGTTTCGCCCGCTAGAGATTTCGGTCTCTGTGACATCCGCCGTGTCTTTCTTCGTCCTCAACAGAATGTCCTTGAGCGTCCTCTTCTGGGGCTTCTTTGAGAGTCTCTCGTACAGCGGCTTGTGTTCCTCGTGAGGATCGTGAGCCTCGCTGTAGTCGACATGGACGAACGCTCTTTCGACATCAGACAATCCTAGCAGGCCAACAGTCAGCACATCAACTCCCCAAAAAACCATCGCCAAAAGGCAAAGAGTACTTTACCTTCAACCTTTCTCTGCAGCTCCTGAGCAACGTCGTGCGAGATCCTCAGGGGCGTTGTCTCGTCCATGACGATGTCAATCTCCACGTAGTAGTTTTGTCCTGCGTGATACGCGCGGCACTGCTCATGGGGTCAGATGGCTTTCTCACATGTCTCTCAACTTGGGGTTTCTTACAGTGTCAACTTTGAGAATCCGAGTATCGTGGGTCATGGCCATGTAAATCAGCTTTGAGACAAAGTCCCTCGGCGCCGACTTGCCGACGAGCAGCCACACTTGCTCAAAGGCGTTGGATACCCAGGAGAACAGGATGAGCAGCGCAATGCAGATGGCGCCAATGGGATCCAAGTACCACACAAAGCGGTCTCCCACAACAGACATGATCAGACCGAAGCTGTTGACAACAATGTCATTGCGATGATCGATCTACGGCTATTATTAGCAAAGACGTCGTCCGAACAGGCAGCCGCCCGGGGGAAGATTGGACAACATACGAAAAAGACATGCACCGAAGGGAATTTTCGGTAAGCGAAGCAGTAGATCATCAAGGAGGCCTTGGCAAAGATGGCCACGCCGACAATCACGATAGGCACGATGTGCAGTTGTTCAGAAGCCCGCTTGCCCTCGCCAAGGGCGCGGCCTGACTCGACCTGTTGCCCCGGATCAGCATCTCAAACTACCAAGTCATACGTCACTTGGCGACGACAGCTTACCAGTAGTTGAATGGCAACGGTTGTCATGAGAGCGCAGAAAAAGATGATTCCAATCGTCTCAATCCTGGTTCGTCCCTATTTTTCCATCCCCAGTCTGTCAGACCCTGTGTGGAAATCCAATTGCCAAGGGCGGGAATACTGCGAATAACTCACCACCGGATACTTGTAAACGCTTGGCCGCGCCGCCATCCTCGAAGTGACGAGCATCACAAAGGATGAGACCAAGTCCATCTAGGCATTTCTTAGTTAACTCCTACAATTATGCCGTACTCCGAAATATGGATTCAACTAACAAAGGCATCGGCTGCAGTGGCAAAAAGCTGGAAATTTCACGAGTCAATAGAGTCCGTGAGCACAGGGACTTGGGTGCCTATTTACCGACAGAGACCCAGTTGAGACGGCAGCGTAGAGCTGAATGACGAACAGGCAAAAGTTGACCGTGAAGGAGGCGTTGACGGCGAACTTGATCTTGGGACCCATTCGCGCGTCTTCGGCGACCTGCTGTCTCTCTTCGTCCTCTGCACCGAGGAACTGGTCAATGAGGTCATTTTGTCGGTTGTAGAACTTCTTCAACTTTCTCTTGTTGCCCTTGGGGTGCTCAATCTTCATCTGCTTCTTGGAGACATTGTCACGACGGTGTCGACCAAAGTCGTAGGGGTCCGGCCGATAAGTGTCGACGGTGGAAGCGTCCGTGGCGTCGACGTTGGAGTACGGGCCGTTAGCGACGCCGCTCTTGTTGGCTGCCGTATCGTTCGAAGTCGATACGAAGAGGCCTTCAGTCACAGCTTTGTCGTCCGTGCCAGATGGGTGAACCGGTGAGATGATGTCTGCGTTGTGCTTTAGGTGTTCATTGTGTTCCTTGTTCGCTTCAGCTTCAGCCTTCGAATTACTTTCCGAATGACCGACAGAGTTGCCTCGAGCTGAGGTGACTGAAGCACAATGGTCAGCGGGGACTGGTCGAAGTGTGCAAGAGTGGGATGAAGCAGTGGCCACCACAGTTGGTGGTCAGTGGTCAAGCAGGAGCAGCGGCAGGGAAATCCGATGCGAGTAGCAGTCGCACATCTCTGCGAGGATGTGATGAACCAGCCAGCAGAGTGGAAGGATAGGTGAGGCGAAGAGAGAGCATAGCGGGAAGGGGTGGGAAGGGGTGTGTCCAGGAAAAAAGAGACAGAGCCGAAACCCACGTACTAGATGATGGTTGGACGCCGTCCTGAGACTCGCGTGGAGTTTGCATTTTTGGGAACTATTGAGCTGGGTTGGTTCTTGGGGTGAAATGGGAAAGTAGAAGGATAGTACAATAGTGAAGTCGATTTGAGACTGGTGGTCATATATTAAAAGAGAGTAGATGGCATCCTACGTGTTCCTCATGTCATGCCCTCCTCTCCGCAAAGTCCGGGGGAGGTAGCCGGGCTGCAGAAGCGGCCCCCTTATGTCGTTGATTATCAGTAAACTCCTGCTGCCGGCGGCCCTGCCCCTCAATGTGCACATCTTGAATGGGCTAGAACTTTGAGATTGAGAGGGGGGAAACAAAAAGCACCCTGGGCAATGACGGCAAGATTTGAAATGTGGTGCGTGTACAGGAGGCTTTCCCGCTCGTTTCCTGCACGATTCCAACTCCACCGTTCCGCCAGTAAAGTGGTGATAATGGTGCACGAGGTGTTGATGTTCAGGGAACCAGGGGGCAGCTATTTGCGTCTTCCTGGTCAGAGACAACTCGTGCCGGTTTGACTTACAAGTGCAAGCGAGGGAGGCATACGCAGTCGGCAAGCGGAGTCGAGAGAGCAAAAGGTCATTTCGAGCCTAGCTTGGACTTTCAGAGGCAACAATGACAGAGGTGTGACCCTGCCAGAAAGCTCAGAAAGCAACGAAGAGACGGCAGTCAGTTACTGCCAAAGACACACCAGAAATGATGCATGGCTGACCAACAGGAGCAGGTTGCGGGATGGAGGATGATCAAGGAAAGGTCCGAGTCCAAGGGGGGGGGGGGGGGGGGGGTGTTTCACGCATGACGGCAGACCCAGGAGCCGCGTGAGCGCACCGAGACAGGAAGCGATTGCCCTTCTGCCAAGAGTTTGGGGCTGTTACAGAGTTTTGGGCAAAGTAGTAGCTGTAGCGTAATCCAAAGCCGACTGTTGGCTCTCGCGGTCGTTGGTGCTGCCTTCTACCAGACGTTGAGACTTCGCGAGACTCGGGCAGAGTTTGGAAGGCGAGAGCTGAGCGCTCGGAACAACTTGCATGTTTGTTTCAATCCGGAGCAAGAATGAACGACTCCAACACGCAACATCCCCGCTTTTCTTCGTCTCCAACTTCTCTCTTTCAACTTCACTCACAAACACACACACACATACCTCGGTGACAACTGTGCCACTCTCTCGTATCACCAACTCGTGCCGGTTCAGCTATCGACTCACGCTCAGATACTATAGCTTTGCTTAGTGCCATCACCCTCAACAGCAACAACACGCGGGCCCTGTCTCCTGTCTCTCGACTGGCCTCATCTCTTGTCTCTCTTGTCCATCTCAGACGCCAAGGGCTCCTCTTTTCCATCACGTCCCTTGGCTGCTTGGCTACCCCAAGTTTTACCAGCCCTGCCTGGAAACTCATGGTGCGGGACTTGTTGACGATTTCTCGGCGCCAGGATGTCATCCCATCCCATCTTGTGAGCCCATCCAGAGTCATTCGTCACGCTTTCTCTCACCTCTCACTTTTTTTTATTTACTATGGAGTATGGACATCAGCCTCCGACTAAGCCCCGACTGCGATTGTCGCGGTGGCTGCGCGTTGTTAGGCAAAACTTGCCCTCAGATGTTTGTCCGATATAGGAAACTCTGCACGTGAGACACTCGAGGAGTAGACCCAGAGAAGCCCCGGCAAGAAGAAGCGGAGAAGAAGCAGAAGCCGACTAGAAGCAGAACCGAGAGCAGATGGAACCTTCAGTCAGTCTCCTCCCATCAGCCCGTACTACCAAGCCTGCTAAACCACCAAGGCAGCTTGGCTAACCCTTCTCTGCAGAATCGCAGCCAAGCCAAAATCAACGAAAGAATGCCATCCGCTGCCATGGGAAAAGGGGACAAGTGTGTTAGTGCTCTTGGCTTCACTCTTGGCTTTCGACGGCTTGTGCCTGTCCCGCCAAGTTTCCCCCCTCTCTCTCCCTTGAGTCTCCAGTCTCCGCGCCTCCAGTCAAGCCTCCCCCGCGCTTCTTCTTCTTCGCGGACTACCCGGGAAGCCTCCCTGTCAAATCGAGTTAAGAATTTTCCGACTGGCAACCCCGGCGCCTGACCCCGGGAGACTCCCGTTTCACACAACCCAAATTTTACAAATGCCGGCGCCCCATTTTGACGCGCACCCCACGTCGATATGGACCCCTTCGCGCTTGGCAACGACCCGATGGAAGATGGACTGTCGTCTCGTTTGGGATATTGCCCATCATGAACCATTATCAGTCCTATTTGCCAAGCGCAACGGGTGTGAAGCTGTGCCGAGTCGAGACGAAAAGTTCGATCAGCCACCGCTTACTTGCACGTACAGAGACAGAGTAGCATCCACGCCATCCAACCCATCATCAGTCCCATACAACTTGTTTCTTATCCGTCAGGTCGAGCCGGGCTCTCAGACTTCCCGTCTCGACTGCCTCCGGCAAATCATGCTATAACAAACAACATCGGATCCGGTCAGCGGCCGGGATCATCGATGCTAGACACAAGCTGGGTCTCAGGCACGCCGCACCGCAGCAAGTTGCTCGACTCGACTCGACTCGACTCAACCGCGGTCGACTTAGCCTACCTTTCCGCCCCCCCCCCATACGGATACACACGGTTGTTGCCCACGGTGAACCTTGTTCCCGTTCAGGTCCTCCCGCTTCCCGCTTCCCGCGAGGCGGACGCTAAGGCCACGTCCCCCCATCACGAACCCACCAAGGCTCAACCTCAGCTGCCTCATCCTTGGCAACGTCTTCTATTTCTGAATCGGCTGGGCGGCACAGGGACCGCTGTCCCATGTCAACGTGTATTCTTTCCCTACCCGCCTTCACACGGGCTGCATTGCGCGGGCTGTCATAGGAAGCATATTAAAGCGAGTCGAGCCCAGACTTTGACCAAGATTTCCCTTTGCCCATCATCAGAGCGTCTGTTGTCGTTCTATGCTTTTATCGCCCGTTTCTTCCTTCCCTTTTTTCCTTTCTCTTCGTGTCCACTTCCTTTCATTCCCCTTGCACTCTAAACTACCACGACAGCTGGGGTCAGATCAGCATTTTCGTCTGTTCTCTAACTGATGCTGCGGGACAGCTTCTTATGTCTCCTTGTTTTCAGTTGCCTTCGCTTTCCGAATGAGTCCTTGTCAGTAGGCGGCCCCGGATTTTTTGGCTGCCTTTTACCTTCTCAAACCCTCCTTATCTTTTATTTCAGGATTGCCAATCAAGCAGCAATCCTCTTTGCGCGACAAATACCGATTTAATAATCAAGATGAACGGAATGAAAGAGCCCAAGCCCGAATGCGGCGCAAAGAAGAGTGGTCAACCAGCCGAATATGACGTTGGCCTGCACGTTGCTGGTCTTTGTAAGTTGGCCCCGGAATGTTTTCCCCCTGGAGTTGGAGTCCAACAGTTTGGCTAACTTTGCGCAGTCTTGGTCTTGGCCTTTTCGATCTTTGGTATGCGAAATCAACAAACGAAACGAGTCTTTTTCTCGGGCCAGCACACTAACAAGACTGTTTCAGGCGCCGGTTTCCCCGTTGTGGCCAAGAAGGTCAAGTGGATGAAGGTCCCTCCCAAGGTCTTCTTTGCATGCAAGCATTTCGGTACAGGCGTGCTCATCGCGACGGCATTCGTGCATGTAGGTGGCTTTGGCTCATCTAGTTGCTCAGAGCTAACACGATACAGCTGCTTCCCACCGCCTTTGGCAACCTCATGAACCCGTGTCTCCCGGATCTCTTCACCGACGACTACCCGCCTCTTCCAGGTGCCATCATGATGGGATCCATGTTCATTCTGTTCAGTATCGAGATGTGGATCAACGCTAAGATTGGCGGTCATTCCCACGGAGGACCTACTGGTGATGTGATGCACGACCATGGTCACGGCCACGGAGCCGCCCAGCCTGCCCGGCCTCCTCGTCACGGCCGCAGCAGCTTCGATGCCGAGGCGGACAGCATTGACTTTGAGAAGCGAGTCGCACAGCGCGCGTACGACGACGAGAAGTCACGCTTCCCCGCGCCGTACTCAGAGACTACCTACGGAGCGCCGCCACCCGCCAACATCAACTTGTCCGACTCTGACATGCCGCCTTGGTTCGTTGTTTTCTACGAGCAGTATGTGCGCCAGCGTGTGGAGATGATGAACATGATCCGAACCACCCAGGAGAAGCAGACGTCGTCGCAGGTTGCTGTTACGGAAGTCAAGCAGGAAGATCCGTTTTATGATGCCGAGGGCCAACAGGTTGACCCCGCTGTGTATCGCAAGATGTCTCTCAACATTACCATGCTCGAAGGTGGTATCCTGTTCCACTCGGTGTTTGTTGGCATGACTATCTCCATCACTATTGATGGTTTCATCATTCTCCTCGTCGCCATCCTGTTCCACCAAATGTTTGAGGGTCTTGGTCTTGGTTCCCGTATTGCCGCTGTGCCGTATCCCAAGGGCAGCATTCGTCCCTGGGTATTAGTCGTCGCTTTCGGCACCACAGCCCCCATCGGACAAGCCATTGGACTTCTCACCCGCAGCACTTACGATCCCGAAAGTGCATTCGGTCTCATCATCGTCGGTGTATTCAACGCCATGTGAGCCTTTTCTTGTCTTTTCCTGCTGAGCCTCGGCTAATGTGACTTAGATCCTCTGGTCTGCTGCTCTACGCTGCTCTCGTCGATCTTTTGGCCGAAGACTTCCTCTCTGAGGAGGCCAACCGCCTTCTTTCCAACAAGCAAAAGATCTCCGCTTTTTGCTACGTTCTCGCCGGAGGTTAGTACAATTCATGAAATCTCTCTGCATGTAAACAACGGCTAATTTTGTAATCAGCTGCGGGCATGTCAGTTGTCGGTATCTTCGCCTAAGCCTTTACCGATACCCCCAGGAAGAAACTTCTTCCACCACCACCCTCGATCAGTCTCACGCGAGAGTACACAACACCCAGTCCAGTCCAGTCCAGTCAAACTTTCAGTCTACACGGCCCGTCGGAACACCGAGGCTTGCTTTGGCCGATGAACTCCGAACTCGACAGGACTTTGATAGCAGAGATGAACGCTCGTTATCTTTCAATGCTGCGCCGGATTTTGTCTCACTGGTCGTGAGGAGACGGACTATTTCTCACTATCAACAGCAACTCTCACAAAATCTACCACATTCGTTTTTTTCTTGCTATCCCCATTTCCAGCGCAATTTGCAGCCAGGGATTTTGTACAATAGTAGTGATGTGGCGTGCCCTGACACGTAGGACCACACAGCGAGTGCATACTGGCAACAGGCAATATTGTTTGGGAGATTTACTTTTCTGGGAAAACCTACATGAGCATTACAAAGGTGTTAAAACTAATGATAACTTTTGGGCATAACAAATATCATGAGTCTTATGAGAAAAGACATGGAGATGGGCATTTGTACGATAGGGTTGCCTGAAGGGGTCGGGCACTACATTACTAGACTGCGTTAAATAACACGATATCTTTATCATGTCTGTTCACAAAAGCAATGTGCCTCGTGTCCACACAAGTCGGTCCCTTTTGCCCTTGAGGACCCAGGGGGCACCGACCATGACACAAGAGATGATCCACAATAGCGACTCCTTTGAGGACGAAGACGCGAGTGACGAGAAGAGACGCAGATAAAAAGGGATTAAGTAGCCGAAGAAGGACTCGATTAGACTTTCTTCCCCAGACTTATTGGCGTCTGAAATAGAGTGGTAGTGGTAACAGTTTGTCTTGGTAAGCACTTTGATAGGGCGATCGAGAGAGAGAGAGAGAGAGAGAGAGAGAGAGAGAAACGGGCAAGAAAAGACAAGATGCCAAGCAGCTTCACAGTGGAAGCAGATAGCGGAAACGAAGAAGACTGGGCAAGACCAAGAGAAAAAGAGGAAGAGACGAAGCGACGTTGAGAAAGGGTTGCCGAGCCCCCCCCCCAAGCCAGGGATGACCCATGATGGCCATGTTTAGTAGGGTGAGCATGACGCTGTCAGGCTTCCAGGGCACCGACCACGGCTAGCCTTGCTTTTTTTTTCTTTTTGGTCTTTTGCATGTAAGTTGTTTTACACCTCTTCCTTTTTCTGTTTCTCTCAGTCTCTGGACGTGACTTGCCGTCGCCTGTCCCTGCATATTGAGAATGTCAGAGACGGAAGGGGGGGGGACCTGGGTTGTTATGTTTTAACCATGTTCTATATAAGGTTATTACACGGGCCGGAGGATTACTGCGTTGTTGAAAGGGCAAGGGCTCGGGGAGAAAGGAGAGTGGGATAGTAGGTTGAGTGTAGTCCTGTGAGGTGGTGATGCATGCATGCAGGGCTGGCTTCCCGCGCGACTACTGCAAGGGGCATGCTTCATAGTCCATGGGATCGTTGATGATTCTGCTGTTGGCTGCGTGACCTTTTTTGCTTGCTTGCTGCTGTTGCTGTTGCTGTGAGTGAGGTTGCAAGGCAGGCGGGCATGTTGGACATGGGAGGGTTGTCGAGGAGGCTGAGGTAGGGAGGGGGGGGGGGGGGGATGGGGTGATGCCCGATGGTGTCACTGGTGTAGCTATTAATATGAACCCCAGACATCTGAGGCGGCGGAGGGGAGGATGGGAGCCAGGGTGAGGGGGGGCTCAAAACTCCAGACGAAAAGAAGGAGGTGTAGGGCACGGGGGCAGGGGGGCAGGGGAGCAGGGGGGCACGGGGGTTACAATGCGGACGGATGAATGGGGGAAGGGAAAGTTGGTTTGGTTTGAGGTTTGGCTGCAGACTGCACTGCGGAAGCATGCGGCGTGCGGCGGCGTGCGGCGGCGGCGGCGCATGAGATCGACGAGCGCTTGTTAGGTAAGGTAAGTCACGATGACGATGGTAGGTGATGGAGGTTGTGGTTGTGGTTCTAGAAGTTTTGAATCGTTGTTTCTTGTTGTCTCTTGTCATGCACGCTTTGCCTTACATGCCTACCTTACCTTACCTTAGGTGCATACCTGCATGTCTGCCGTAGGCACAGACTACCTCACCGGCGGCCGAATGCATCGCGGCTTGAACCATTTTGATCCTTTATGAAATTGGTCCAAGAGACGTTATGTACAGTAAGGTAGTCAGTCTCGTGATGAGAAAGTCGAAAAAGGGTTTCCGACGATCTGGGGGATACTTTCCAGAGGGCTGTGTAAGAAAGGTAAGGAAAATAAGGAGGGGAAGAGAACGAGATTGGCTTTTCTTGGCAGGCGTCACTTTTCTTAGTTTTCTTGCTAAAAAGGATCTAATCTGTACATACGAGTGTCCGATTCTGAGGTTAACCTCATGAAAGCTTATGAGATGCTTTTTTTCTTTGCTTGTTTGGAAAGATGAAGCGGGCTGTTTGGCAGAATCCGGCGTGGGTTTGCCGGTTTGCCAAGGACTGTCTGTCTTTCAGCATGATCACAATACGCATCGTGCACAACTCTCTCCCCACCCGCTTTAGTCACATAGTACATAAAACAGGGCGAGCAAAACGTCTCTGTCTACGAGAAAAGATGGAGAAAAAGCGAAGAAGAAGAAGACACAACAAAAGATTACTGACCAAGACCGTGCCTCTATTCTACATCCGTTGTTCGGTTCCTTCGGGCGGTTTGGGGTTTGTGGTTTGACCTCCTAGGATCCCCGCTTCCCTCGTACCAGGATCAGTGTTCGAGGTTTCGAGTCGAGCACAGAAAGTCGGGATACAAAAGATGGGCAACTCGTCACGAGGGAAAGGTAGGCACGTAGCTGAAGGGTGTGTGTATCAGAAAACGATGGTGAGATGGGTGGATAGCGGGGGGGGGGCACTGGCTTTACAAATACAAAAAGTCTTGGCACGTGTATGATAATCGCCCGATGAGCACGGAATCCGTTCGTAACGACTTAATACGTGTAAACGTATAAGATAATTATTCCAAAGAAGCAAAATTGACGACAAATCCATTCCGAGAAGAAAGGGTTGCATTCACTGTATTACCAAAAGACACAAGTCCTGCGGCTTACGACGACCAAGTCGTGCCGAGTGCAACGGTATATACTCATTGCAGTATATGCCCTCTGAAAGGAAGATTTTCATCCGGTGTTCGAGCCAGAGATCCAGCCAACCCCCGTTCCAAGCAGAGGACTCGGGGCGTGGTTGCACAGAGATCGAAAGGCGAAAGTTGGTGTGTGTGTGTGTGTATGTGTGACATTTCCA